GCTCCAGTGTCTGTCCACTGAAGTCTCACCCACTGTTTCAGGCCTTATTCAGACTTCCTCCCTGGAATCTTCTGTTCCTTGCTATCACTCAAGGGACAGACCTTTGATAAAATTAAGTAGGATATTAACTCTGAAGTACATTGGGAAGATAAAGTGCCCCAATAAATCATTTCAACTTTTTAAGAAATGGACACTTGGAGGGATCCTTGTGGACTCCTTTATCTGCATAGCACCCACTTTCTCTCCATCCCCTTTCCTTGTTTGATTTCTCTCCATAGCATTTACTTGCCCTATTCAGTCTCTGAGAAGAAGTTCTGATTGCCTCTGGGCAAGAAAGACTTCTCCTCTCAGGCCTGTCTGGACTTTCAGGAAGCATTCTTCACATTTTCATTTGCCCTGGTGGGGAGTCAATGCTGTTTCTAGGTTCACATTGTGAATCCCATGAAGATGGGATTGGATTCTGAATCCTGCCAGCTAACCTCTGCCATAGGACCGGGCATACAGCTCGTGGTCACTTGTGCCTCAACAACCACACAAGATTGCATTGGAGCTGCCCAAAATCCTCACTTGCATGTTTGTCCTCCCAATTGTGTCTCCTGTCCTGTTTCCTTATGTGGTGTTTCTCGAACACCTGTCATTCTCCTGTCACTCTCTGTGGGGAGCAACCCGGACTAGACTAAGTTACTGGAATTAAGACTTATTCTATGCATCTGCTCTCCCACAATATGGCGCTGAGAAGGGAGTAACAACTTCTACCCAGCTGCCTCCAGTTCAACCAATAAACAGCAGGACCTGCTCCTGATTGGAGGAGAGCAGCGTACTTGGCGTGTGGGTAGCAGAGTTAGGATTGGTGGAAGAGGACTATAAAGGAGGAGAGAGACAACATGCACGAGGAACATCTAAGGGGAACATCTATCTGAAGGAACACCTGTGCAGCCCCCAAGAGAGCCGGCTGGCGGTATGCCGCTCCCCCGCGGAAGTGGGGAAAGTGGCTAGGGGACCCGCCCCTCCACGGAGGTGGAGGGACGGCAGCCAACCCGGGAAGAACCAGCAGCAAACCCGGGGAGGGCCGAGCAGACGAAAGAACAGCGCAGGGTCCTGTGTCGTTCCTCCACGAAGAGGGGGAGCGACATAATGGTGCCGTGACTCGGATAGGAAACTTAGGAGGGAAGAAACGGGAAGAAGTGGGAAAATACTGGAGAGAGAGACTAGCAAAGAGCCTAGGGAAAAGCCCGACGGAAAAGGTGCTGGAAGAAGCTATCGAAAGCCTAGGCATAGACTCGGATACGGACTGTGGGAAAGAAGTTAGGATTTAAAGTGAAAGCAAGAAGAAACTTAGACTCAGATACGGACTGCAGGTTGAAAGTGAAAGTGAAACCTATAAGAAACTTAGACTTGGATACGGACTGTGGGGAGAGGCCAGGAGAAATGAGGGAGGAATATTGTTGGAAGAAAACTTAGGGAAACATACCGGGTAGAGAAAAATGTTAGGGAGGATGAAGCCGCGAGTGCAGGCCGAGGCAGAGACGTAAGCCAGCTTGGAATTCTTCAAGTCAGCCCGGGCAGCAAAAGGCGAAAATCTGGAACCAGAGGCAGAGACGTGGGCCGCCAGGTTGGAATTCGCCAGGTTAGTCCGGGGAACTTGGACTGAATGCCAGCAGCGGAAACGTGAGCTACGCTGTGTGATTCGCAGAAGCCACTGTGTGCAGAGAGAGCACGGGGCGTGAATAGATAGGGAACGCGGGGCTGGCGCGAGGCCATGGTGCGGGCGCGAAGGGCGTGGAGACCACGGAGTGTGCGCGCGAAGCCGAGCCGCGCAGAGCCAGGAGCCCGCCGCAGGGCAGGCACCGGGAAGCCGCGCAGATGAGAGAAGCGCGGGCTGAAGCGGCTCTGAGCCGGGAAGCCGCCGAGAAGCAGCCTCGGGGCGGGCGCCGGGAAGCCGCAGGGATAAGAGAAACAGAAATTTAAAAGTAAAATGAGAGAAATAGGAATGCTGGAAGATAGAAGTAAAATGGGAGAGATAGGAATGCCCGGAGATAGAGAAATAGAGAAAAATAAGGCCTCCCCTCAACATGGCAATGAGAGAGCTTGGATTCGGTCTGCCTGATTAGGGAGGTGGTGAGCACCTGTGGGTGGCTAGCAGCTTATGCGCCGCAGGTCACCGAAGACAGGCACGATTCAACACCAATAAGTCTCCCCACAAGACGGCAATGAGAAGGCTTGGATTCGGTTTGCCTGATAGGGCTTGTAAGCACCTGCAGGCAGTTCTAGCAGAGCAGAGCATGCGCTGCAGGGCACCGAACACAGGCACGCATCAGCGCCTAAAAACCTCCTCACAACATGGCGAAGAGAGGACCCGGATTCGGTTTGCCTGATTGGTAGGGCTTGTAAGCACCTGTGGGCAATTCTAGCAAGCAGAGCAGTGTGTGCCGTGGGGCACCGAAGACAGGCGCGTATCAACGCCAAAAATAAAAAGAAAGGGGGATCTGTGGGGAGCAACCCGGACTAGACTAAGTTACTGGAATTAAGACTTATTCTATGCATCTGCTCTCCCACAATATGGCGCTGAGAAGGGAGTAACAACTTCTACCCAGCTGCCTCCAGTTCAACCAATAAACAGCAGGACCTGCTCCTGATTGGAGGAGAGCAGCGTACTTGGCGTGTGGGTAGCAGAGTTAGGATTGGTGGAAGAGGACTATAAAGGAGGAGAGAGACAACATGCACGAGGAACATCTAAGGGGAACATCTATCTGAAGGAACACCTGTGCAGCCCCCGAGAGAGCCGGCTGGCGGTATGCCGCTCCCCCGCGGAAGTGGGGAAAGTGGCTAGGGGGCCCGCCCCTCCACGGAGGTGGAGGGACGGCAGCCAACCCGGGAAGAACCAGCAGCAAACCCGGGGAGGGCCGAGCAGACGAAAGAACAGCGCAGGGTCCTGTGTCGTTCCTCCACGAAGACGGGGAGCGACACTCTCCTTAGCGATGTCACAACTGCACACCACTTATACTTCTAGTAACATCTTGCTTGAGATAGATGCTCCTATTCTTTCCTGGTTAAAATTTTTATTTATTTTAAAGGCAGAGAGACAGTCAAAGAAAGATCTTCCATTTGTTGGTTGACTCCCAAATGTTTACAATAGCCAGAGCCATGCCAGGCGAAAGCCAGAACTCAGTCTGAGTCTCCCATTTAGGGGTGGCAGGGCCTAGCACTTGCTGACTCCCAGGGTGTGCATTCGTATGGAGTGGGAATTGAAAATGGAGCTGTGACTCAAATTCGGGCACTCTGATATGGAATGTGGCTGTCCCAAGTATCACCTTAACTACTGGGCCAAATGCCCCTTCCAGATTCCCATTTTTCTTATGTGAAGTCATTTAAAAAGCAGACCGTTGGGGCTGGTGCTGTGGCACAGTGGGTTAATGCCCTGGCCTGAAGCGCCAGCATCTTGTATGGGTGCCGGTTTGAGACCTGGCTGCTCCACTTCCAGTCCAGCTCTCTGCTGTGGCCTGGGAAATAGAATATGGCCCAAGTCCTTGGAGCCCTGCACCCACATGGGAGACCCAGAAGAAGCTCCTGGCTTTAGATCAGCGCAGCTTTGGCCATTGGGGCTATCTGGGGAGTGAACCAGCGAATGGAAGATCTCACTATCTCTCTCTGCCTCTCCTCTCTCTGTGTAACTCTGACTTTCAAATGAATAAATAGATCTTTTATAAAAAAAAAAAAGCAGACTGTTTATCTCTACTATAAACATAAACCTAGTGCCACTGCCTTTAAATAAACACCTTAATAGAAGGGGAATGAAACATGATGTTTATTCATTGAATAAGTATTTACTAAACAACTAGTCTATACTAGGCAATTTGCTATGCTCTAGTTATATAGGAATGAACAAGAAAGAAAGGATCTGAGCTCTCTTTGGGCTTATCCTCTGTTAGAGGAAACAGCTAAACTATAAAGGTATAATAAATGCAATAGGGATAAATGAAACAAGGAAAAGGGATGGAGAGAAAGTGGGTGCTATTTAAATAAAGGAGTCCAGAAGGACCCCTCCAAGGAAGTGATATTGGCATGGAGATCAGAGGAACAAACCCTGTGACCCTCTGGAGGCAGAGGCCCAGAGGCCCAGGAAACAACAGGTGGTGGATCTGAGAAGGAAATATGGCTTGAGGATTCTCAGGACCTGGAAGGAGGTGAGCATGGCTGGATCAGGCTGAGTGCGGGGAGGAGCTCTAGGAAGTGAGGCAGGAGACAGAAGCAAGAACAAGAGCACAGAGGCACTGAGTCTGAGTTGACCCCTAAAAGGGACTGGCCAGTATGCTACTGCTGTTTGGGAAATGATACCATTGGTTAAATGAAGATCTCAGTGAAGTCCCTCTTTGGCCTTTTTGTAAGTAAAATTAATTGACTTGGAAAGAAGAGAGAGAGAGAGAGAGAGAGAGAGAGAGAGAGAGAGAGAGAGAGACAGAGAGAGAGAGCATGCGCATTCTTTCCTCTGCTGGTTTACTCCCCAAATGCCCATGATCCATGGGGCTGGGCCAGGCCAAAGCCAGGCAAATGGACCTCAATTTGAATCTCCCTTGTAGGTGGCAGGGAGCCAGACATTTCAGCCATCACCTATTGATTTCCAGGGTGCATACCAGCAGAAATGTGGAATCATGGAATCAGGAGTGGAGCCAGGACTCCAACCTAGGCACTGTGATATGGGATGGGGTGTCCTAAGTGATATCTTAACCATGGAGCCAAATGCCCACATCTCTTCTTTAGCCTTTTAATTAGAACGTCTTCCCTAACTCAGGTTCAAACCCTGCCAGCAAGCAGGCTTGTCTTCAAGATATGGTAGAATTTCTGGGGATATAAAGTGTTCAGTGCCAAATTTCCTGTTTGCTTCTCTAATTGGTGACCCCTATTGTAGTGTACCTGGTGTCAAGTTGACAGGTCTTAATCCCTAGAGGAATGAAGGGAGCATGTATTGCTACTGACTCCCAGTTTTTCTCTCCTGGTTTTAGATCTGTCTAATCCATGACTCCCACCTCAGACTCAGCTCACTCTACTAGAGCAAGCAGGGGATAGAATATGATCTGCCAAGGAAATGTCCCTCTCTTCATCCTAAACCACCTGTTCCTTGCCAGGCTGTGCACTGGGAGCACCTGTGGAGCTCTGGAAGCTGACTGCAACACCCAGGCCCCACTTGAGGAGATGTTGGCTTGCTTGGTCCAGGTAAGGCCTGGCATCTGGGTTTCTACAGTTCTACAGGTGATTCTAATGCAAGCAAGGCTGAGAGCCATTGCTTGAAGGGAACCCAACATTTTTACAGGAGGAGAAATTAGGAGTTTCAATTTTGCAAGATCACATACAAACAGGTATGTTGATGTGATATATATAGGTTGGTGGGCATGGAATAGGCCATGCTGGAGGTGAGGTACACAAATCCTTGCACTGAGAGGGGGAACCACTATTTTGGTTCTCCTTGTCTCTTGCCATTGTGTATTCCAAGTTCACATAGTGGTCTTCTGTATCTATTTTATCATATCTACCTGTGGTCACATAGACACAGCTTTCAGGTTGGAATCTGGGAGAAATTTAAGTTTCTATTTTCGAAGATCCCAATGCTAGCTACTTTTCCTGTACATGACACAGCTCCAGTCTATATTAGTGACACAGGGAGCTAAGGATGAGTTGGCTTTCTCTTTTTTTCCATTCTGATGGATTTTTGACCTCCATATCAGGAAGTTGCTAAAAGGCAGAAGAAACAAGATAGCATTGGATACTGACATTTAAAAGGCTTATGACAAACTTTCTTAAGCAGCAGCTGCTTTGGTTATTCTGAATGAGACTTGAAAAGCTTTGGAAGTGAAAAGGAAGGTGTTGTGGTTTGGATTAAGTTTGAGTGTCCCCCCAAAAGGCCCAAGTGTTTAAGACTTGCTCCCCAAAATCTTAGGTTAGTAGATAAATGTTAATGGATTAAGGGTGGAAACTTAATACAATTATGATGTCTGAAGTAAAGCCTTTGGGAAGTGGTTACATTGGATTAGGTTATTTGGGCAGAGCTACTGAATGAATCATGGTTGGTTTACATGGTGAGACTACCTAGACATAGACTACGAGTGTTTTCCCTGTCTTTCGCCGCTTCCTTTTTCTCCGCGTGATTGCTTCTCTGCATATGTTGCACCCTTGCCACCCTCCAGCCCCACCAGAGGGCTGAACCAATGAGGCCCACTTGATCTTGGACTGTGAACCTGCAAAACTGTAAACCTCCTTCCTTCCTAAGTGACATCTCTTAGGTATTTGGTTGTAGTAATGAAAAGTTGCCTAATACCGATGGCCTGCAGGTTGAAGGCCACATTCCTCAAGTCTGAGGATGGCTCTCTGAACCTGCTACTCAAAGGTGGGCTAGAAAGGTATAAAGGATGATAGGGTGATGATCATCAATGCACAACTTGACAGTCTGTGTTTTGGAATCTTAGGAGACAAAGATGAAGCCTATAATGCTAACTTCAAAAGCACTGCCAATTATTCTAAGTGTGTGATGATACTGTCTGTGTCATCCCACCCCCTGATCTTGCCAAACTTTGTCCTTAGTAACTATGCTAAAAGATAGTGACCCAGGGGCTATGGCAGCACATTCCCCACACTCACTCCATATGCTGATTTTTTAAAGAAGATATATTGATTTGAAATGCAGAGTTAGAGAAAGGGAGAAAGAGATCTTCCATTGACTGATTCACTCCCCAAAGGGCCATAATAGCTCAGGACGTACCAGGCCAGAGGCAGGAACCTGGTCTCTAACATGGCTGGCAGAGGCCCAAGCTCTCGGGCCACCCTCTTCAGCTTTCACAGGCACATTAGCAGGGACTCAAAATGTCACTCAGATAAGATGTTGGCATTGTAGGTGGCAGCTTAACCTGCTGTGCTACAACAGCAGCACCTCATTCTATATTCTAAATCATTTACTTCTCTTTCCAGAATTACAGGTTGTTTGAGCTGGGAAATTTGAGAAATCACGCAGTACCTTACTTTTCAAATTTAAGTGTTGAGATGATTTCTCAGTGGTATTCTTCTACCTTTTGTTTTTTGTATTAATTTTTACTGACAGGGAATAATAATTACTTTTCACTTACAAAAGTGATATGAAACTTCCTTCCACAGTGAATTAAGTTCAAAATAAGATAGTTTTTATCGATATGAAGTACATATCAAGAAGGCAAGGTGTATAAGGATATGCTAAATTAGGGATGTGAGAGAAGATGGACAGTTGTATAGGAGTGTAGCCCTGCACCAATCTCTCATTTGACAGCTGAGGGACCTGAAAGTGACACTGCCCAGTATGAGGCACATTCCTGCTCATGCCTTTTCTCCTGGTTTTTCACTCTACGTGCTGTCCCTCTAAGAGGACCATAAAGCAGCTAACAGTCCATTACAGACTGACCTGAGATCATAGTGAGCAGATGTATGCACATCTCCCATATATATGTGTTATTAGCATTTTTCTTTTTATTCTCAGACTCTCTGCTACATGCAAAACAAGCAAGCACCAGCTCTGATAAAGGGCCTCCTCTCTGCAGGGCAGGCCACCCCAGAAAGCATCACGCTGAACACCAGGCAGAGCTGACCCAGGCAGACTGTCACTGGCCCCAGCCAGGGCTCTGGCAGTTACTGCCTTCTGTGGTTGGGGGCAAAAGAAAACAGTAGTTTCTGGTATTTGGTGAGGGGGCAGGAAGGGAGAGGAGGGAGGGAAGAGATAGAGAGAATGAACTAACAGGGTCTGTGGTCTCTTGGAGGGATGTGGCCAGCCCTCGGTGACCATGCCTGGAGGACCCAGGAATCGTCCCTTCACTTACTCTTCCCAACTCACAGCTCCTGCCAGTGCTTCCCATTCACCAGAGACAACAGGAAGCCAGGCAGAAAGGCCTCCTGAGGCACAGTGCAGGGTGTTGCTGGGTGACGAGGTACGTGGAGGGGCCAAAAGCAGGCAGCTAGCATGCTTCCTTCTTCCTTCCGCTTCCTTGGCTCACATGTGGTGTGGTCGGGAAGGTGGGATTTTCACAGTACCGTGCTGTCCTTGGGAGCATGAGTGCAGGCCCCATGTGACTACTGTTTCTCCTGCCTCTCTCTCTTTTTTTTTTTTTTTTTTTTGACAGGCAGAGTGGACAGTGAGAGAGAGAGACAGAGAGAAAGGTCTTCCTTTGCCGTTGGTTCACCCTCCAATGGCCGCCGCGGCCGGTGTGCTGCGGCCGGCGCACCGCGCTGATCCGATGGCAGGAGCCAGGAGCCAGGTACTTATCCTGGTCTCTCAAGGATAATAATCAGCACTTGGGGCATCCTCCACTGCACTCCCGGGCTGAGCCCTCTTCGGTGTCTCTCTTAGAAACTGACTCCAAATCCAAAGCATTACTTTCTAGACTCTTCTGTCAGCCTTCTTTGCCCCAGCCCATAATACATTTTCCCACATAGCTGCTAAAGTTAACTTTTATTTTTTTAAAGATTGATTTATTTCTATGAAAGACACAGCGAGAGAGACGGATAACTTCCATCTACTTGTCTGCTCTCCAAATGGCAGGGCCAGGCTGAAGTAAGGAGTCTGAAGCTTCATTTGGGTCTCCCACATCAGTGCAGGGGCCCAGGCACTTGAGTCATCTTTCATGTCTGTCTCAGGTCATTAGCAGGGAAATGGATCAGAAGTGGAGTAGCTGAGACTCCAACCAATGCCCCCAGGGGATGCCTGTATCACTGGTGGCAACTTAATCTGCTGTATCATCATGCCGGCCCCTAGAGTTATCTTTTAAAATACCTTTCACATAAATAAAAATGAAAATAGGCCGGCGCTGCAGCTCACTTTGCTAATCCTCCGCCTGCGGCGCTGGTACCCTGGGTTCTAGTCCCAGTTGGAGCGCCGGATTCTGTCCCGGTTGCTCCTCTTCCAGTCCAGCTCTCTGCTGTGGCCCGGGAAGGCAGTGGAGGATGGCCCAAGTGCTTGGACCCTGCACCCGCACGGGAGACCAGGAGGAAGCACCTGGCTCCTGGCTTCGGATCGGGGCAGCGTCGGTCGTAGCGGCTATTTGGGGAGTGAACCAATGGAAGGAATATCTTTCTCTCTGTCTCTCTCTCTCTCTGTCTAACTCTGCCTGTCAAAATAAATAAATAAATGAAATAAATTTTAAGAATAAAAACGAAATGACAGACTCTGGGTTTACATTCAATGATGAAAAACCAGTGAGATGTATTGGAGGAACTGGGAAGGAAGGACAGTGAGAAAAGAAGTGAAAGATGTTCACTGATTCATTCCCTGTTTATTCTTTAGTGAATGAGGGTTTTTTCTTGATTAAAGTGAGTCTCTTTCCTCAGCTCTCTGGAATTCTAATCTTCGTTCCAGATGTGCTCAGCATAGCTAGGATGCCTTCACCCTTCCTGCTCAGCATATCCTAGTCCTCATACTAGTTCTGCATGTATTTCAGGCAGTTCGACTGTTACAGGAAGCTGTTCAGGATCTCTCCAGATGGAAGTAATCTCTTGCCTCTGTAAACCACCACAGCCCATGACCGTCACCTGTCTGGTGGATGTAGCTCTGTTCATCTTTCAGTCTGTCAGTCCCTTTCCCACCGCTGCCCCACTATGTGTAATTTAATTTACTTGGAAGTCCCTTTATTCTTTGCTCAGTGTGAGCCCTACAGTTTGCAGGAAAGCAGGGCTCACACAATATTTATTGAAGACACAGTTGTGTGCATTCAACTAATTTCCACAAGAACAACATAAAGCAAAAACCCTAAGGACACATGAACCTTGTTCATGCAGCGAACCAAAACACATTGGCTTTCTTGCCTCTGCATGTATTTTTTAATTTTCCATAATGGTCTGTGATCGTTCACTCATCAACTGAAGTAAAACAGTTTAGGGAAAGCCAACTCATATATTGACAAGGAATGATAAGCACAGCCAGAAATGGAGACTACAAGGAAATGAAATGTCATCATTCTAACCTACTTGATCAGGCACTTGGGAGCAGGGTGGAAGATAAGAGCAATAGGTGGAAGAAGAGAAAAAGAGAAGAAAGGAAGATTATTGTTGGCTACAGGGTGGATATGCTAGCTGCCGGTCAGTGGGGAGTAAAAACACATTCTCCAGGGCTAGCTTGGCTACTCCCATGCTTGCGCACTCTTCTAAAAGAGTTACCCTCATAGGGAGGGACCCTACCATTTATTGGTTCTCAAAACCTATCTTATTTAAGCCTACTCCTAACCTGAAGAATGGATAGCATCACGCTACTTTCATAAATGTTGAAACTGACCTACAGTTCTGCAGGCACCAAGGTGTTGTGAGAGAGGGTACTGGCTCTGGAGCTTTGGATGGACTGAGATCTATTTCTGGCTCCCCATGCCCCTCTTATCTGCTGAGCATGTGGCTCATGCTCCTGAGCTTTGTTAGCCAATGGTAATAAATAATTCCTTCTTTGGAAGGTTGTTGTGAGTGTGGGCACTTAGAACAGTGTCAAGGATGCCATCAATGTTAACTGAATAGTTAGAGAGGTTGGGTAACTTGCCCAAGGCTGGCACATGGTAGATCTATGATACGAATTTAGGTGTGTTGAAGAGGAAATGTTAAACAGTGGAGGTCTAAAGCAGTCAGCAGTGTGATTGAAGGGAGAGAAATCGCTCTAATTTGACTCTCACATCCACACCAGCATCACTGGATATGCAGATCATTTCCTCAGTTTCTTTTCTGAACAAGCAGACTCCCGGGCTTGGGACACAATGAGATCTCCCCTGAAACAAGGCTATGGGGAAAGGGGTCAAATGTGCACTCTATGGAATATTTGGAATCAAAAATTCAGAAAAATAAAAGCTTGGCATGAGTATCATCATCTTGAAAAAAAATCTTACAGATGACAGAAAATTTGTAAAGTGGGGCTGGCACTGTGGTGCAGTGGGTTAAAGCCCCAGCCTGCAGTGCTGGCATCCCATATGGGCGCCAGTTTGCGTCCCGGCTGCTCCACTTCCAATCCAGCTTTCTGCTTTACCCTGTGAAGGCAGTAGAAGATGTCCCAAGTGCTTGGGCCCCTGCACCTGCGTGGGAGACCCAGAATAAGCTCCTGGCTTTGGATTGGCGCAGCTCTGGCTGTTGTGGTCATTTGGGGAATGAACCAGTGGAATGGAAGGTGTCTCTTTCTCTGGCTCTAAAACGGAAGAAGGTATGTCTCCTGCTAAGTTTCTACTCATCACCCCACTCCTCATCGCCAACTGTTTTAGAGACAAAGGACAAAGGGTGTATATCTGATCTGGTTTTGGTGTAGTGTTTGTCACTGTCACTGTCACAGAATCTCCCTAAACTCTGACATATCCTGGATTCATGCTGTATACATGAAATCAGTCTAGCTAGGGGTTTCCCTTATGATGTTTAGTCTTCTACCACCATCAACCTTCACCAGGAAATCATTCCATCCAGTATGTGCATTTATGGCATGTTTGTCACACCATGTTATAATTCTTCTTTGCCTATTGGTCTTCTTTTTGACATCATGAGTTCCCAAGGGCAGAAAATGCATCTGATAAATGTAGTGTTTAGGATCTCTAGATTTGTGGTCAGGTACACCAACTGGAGCCCTGACATGCTGTGACTTCTCTCCCTTCTGACCTATGGCAGATAAATGAAGGCACATCTTCTGAAGTTGTCTGCCTGTGCTTAGAACCCCTATGCAGTATTGTTCCTGACTTCTCTATAGTCCTTGGTGTGTAAATAGAAGCACTCTAGTTCACTCTTTGATTTGTGAAACAACTAGTTCTAGCAGTTTCAGAGTTCTTGAGAATTTCAGTCAATAACACACAAAGATAGATCAGTTAGAGGCCACAGTTTATGCTCCTTTTGAGGTGGAATGTTAACTTCCCCCAAGAGCAGGTCTGGCTTTTACAAACAGAGTTTTGCAAGATACCTTACATGACATCCAATATACAACACTATTCAAAGGCTTCATGAATATATATTAAAATTTTAGCTAAAGAGAGCTAAGAATACTTTAATACATCAAAGATTTTAATGAAAACAAGAAAAGTTGCTTTCTAATACTTGGAAAGGCAAATGCTCACCAAATTGATGTTAAAAAGGAAGGAAAATTCTGACAGAAGATAAATAGAGCCAAGTTAGATGCCAATCATTCACTGCCTTTGGAACTGTGCTCTGAGAAGATACACTGCATAACAGAGTTACAGAGGGGGAGGAAAGGCCATTGTCTTTGTTTCAGGCAGACATGGGTTTGAATCTAGGCTCTGCTGTGCCTCAGATACTTGAAGGCTTTATTTGCTGAACTACAAAATCCAGAAAAAAATCCCACCTAATTTACAAGGTTGTTAAGAGGATATAATGGCTATCATTCTATAGATACTCATTAAAATTATTTCTTCTTGCTTTAGAATTTTCCTTCCGATGTGGCGTAACACCATAGTGACTGTTTCTGGTGCAGTTCTTTAAACATGAAGAAGAGAATTTGACCCAAATACAGCTGATATGTCAGAGGTACAAGACCTCACTGATTAAAAAGAAGCCCTTGAACATTATTTAGAATCACTCAAACAGTCTGAGCCCAAAAGAAGAACAATCTAGTGTTATCTGCCCAAGATGACCAGAGACAAAGAGAGATAACCATGGAATGTCCTTTGCATATGAAAACCAAGACAGGAAGAATGAGTTAGTACAATCTTTGGGTGTCTTTCTGAATATCAATGCTCATGTTTTGAACTGGCAAATCTAACTTGACACATTTTTCTTGAAAAGCTATTTCTTTTCTTTTCTTTTGACAGGCAGAGTGGACAGTGAGAGAGAGAGAGAGACAGAGAGAAAGGTCTTCCTTTGCCATTGGTTCACCCTCCAATGGCCGCTGCGGCCGGCGCACCACGCTGATTCGAAGCTAGGAGCCAGGTGCTTCTCTCGGTCTCCCATGGGGTGCAGGGCTCAAGCACTTGGGCCATCCTCCACTGCACTCCCTGGCCACAGCAGAGAGCTGGCCTGGAAGAGGGGCACCCGGGACAGAATCCGGCACCCTGACCAGGACTAGAACCCGGTGTGCCGGCACTGCAGGGGGAGGATTAGCCTATTGAGCTGCGGTGCTGACCGAAAAGCTATTTCTTAAAAAGATCATGCCTCTGCATAAAGGATGTTGATTGTAGTGGCATTTATATTCGTCTAATTAATTGCTTAACGCGTCATTGATGGGAAATTAACTAATTGTACACCACCCAAGAACTGGTTAAGCAGTTAAGATCTGTCAGTGTAAGAAGGGACATTATAGTTGTGGTGATGCCAGGAAAATGTCAACTAACTGTCCACAATGCATGGCATTCACAATAGAAAACATGATGTGGTTGGCTTTTATTTTTGATGTTAAAAATTAATATGAATATACTTTATATAAATGTACACATACACTCAAAATTTGGAAGGTAGAAACACATGATTTGTCTATTCATCTTTGTGCTTCTCTGAACTAGTCGAATTCTCTATAGTGATTTTGTGTTGGTTTAATAATAACAACAGCAATCAGTAAAAAAAAAAAATCAGACTCTGATCTTTCACAATACCCATTATCAATGTTTCACCTTCTCTTCTCTTTTCCCAGGACAAATGCACTTGGATATGCCTCCATTTCCATTAACAGGCAACTTGGGGGAAAGAACTCAGCTATACTTCGATTTTTCCACTTAAAGAAAGATGGTTTTCATTATTCATACCCAGCTGACGAGGAGAGAGAAAAGAATAAGCGAGAAGATGCTGCTTGGAGTGAGGGGAGGCTTTAAGGTAATAATTATAACAATTTCACTTAGCACTGGGGCAGCACCTAGCATATTCTAAGCTGTCTCAGACACTGTCTAATTAAGCAAAGGGAGGAGGACAATGACAAGAGTGAGAGATTTAATCTAAGAAGCATGAGGGGGCCTTAAGATACCGAGGAGATGAAAACAACAAAGGGGTGTAGCAAGAGCAGCAGGGTGAGAATTTCAGAGAAAAGTCTGAAATATCATAAGCTCACAGAGGAGGGCCAAAAGCAAAAAATGTAAATTAAGAAGATACAGAAAGGAGAAAAAAGACTGATGGAACTGGGAGAAATGGAGGAAGGGAAAGTTTAACATTATTTAATATTGTTTTTAGAATCTGACATCATTAACCTATTCAATCATGCTTCGTAAATATCTGAATGTGGAATAATTCCTGTGACTCTGGAACTCACATAATCCCAGAGGCCTTGAACATTGGGCCTGCCACTCAGAATTACTGGCAACATTAATCTCTGTAAGAGAGAGAATGCATTAAACATACATCACAGATGTTCTTGGGGGAAGCCTTAGAAGGCTGCCAAACTCCTGCCCCCGATCCAATTTAAATGCACTGAGAAAACAAGTAGAGCAGAGGCCATCAAAAGAGCAAGGCTTAGGCACCTTAAGAGGAGAAGGTTATTCAGCAGAAGTTGAGAGAAAAAGCTAAGATAAAGAATGCTAATTTAGGAACCTCCAGTTCTTGGTTGAGCTCATCCTTGGAAACACTGATCAAATCCTGCACTCCATTACTTGCCCCAAATTACCTCATTCTATAAAATATTTTAATTTTTCTCATTTAGTAAGACAATAATATGTTGCCTTGAAGTGCTTCCTATAGCAGAAAGTAGAGAAGTGATATTTGCAATGGGCATGGAAGGATTAGTGCCAATCTGTCTGGATGAGGGAGGAGAATTCCAGGAGAGGTCATGGAAGTAGCCAACATGAAAACCACAGATGGGATGTATTTTCTATGCAAGCTAGTAAATAGGGGGACATTTCTTAGTGTTGCTCCACTTTATACAACCATCCATGAAATGCTCTGTCCCCTTCACCAGGTTTGAACAGGTGCAGCTGGCCTAGCAATGTGACTTCATGGGTTCAGCTGCTGCTTGGGATACCTGTATCCCATATTGGAGGTCCTGGTTCCAGACCCAGCTACTCTGCAATCCTTATCCAGCTTCCTGCTAGTGCTTCCTGAGTGGCAGCAGATGCTGGCTCAAGTACTTATATCCCTGCCACCCAAGTGAAACACCTGGATGGAGTTCCTAGCTCCTGGCCTTGGCCTCACCCAGCCCTGGCTGTTCAGGGCATTTGGGGTATGAGCCAGCAGATGAAAGATCTCTCTCTGCTTTTCAAATCAATCAATCTTAAAAGAAAAATAAAGATTTATAATGATGCACTGCACATCCTGAAAATAGGCATTGCAATGCTTGCTTCCTCCCCTCCCTGCCCCCCAAAAAACATTCAAACTTGAAATGAAAATCCAGCTACCAAACATAAGTTTTCTGGCCCACTGGTGCTTTGCACCTGTGAGAAGCCAGATAGGGAGTAATCCAAAGTCAGCTCTGGGTTTTGATTATATCTGTATGCCATATTGAAAAACTGAGTGCTCTATAGAACAAAAGGAATCAAAGAAGGAGACACCTAGCTATCTGCTTCAGATATTACTCACTGCATTTCTGATAGCTGACTTGAAACAGTGGTAGAGGGGGAGGTTAGAGTGGGGAAATGACTACCTTAAGCCACTGGAGACAACCCCGGATATGTTATGAATGTTTACGGCAGGGTTTATGAATTAAATATAAATGGCTTAATTTTAGAAGATGTCCTGCTGGCTCCCAGCACTTCCTCATTTGTCATAATTATAATCTACTTTATTTCTCCTTCCTTCCTCTATCCCTTCACTCTTTTTTCTTTCTTTCCTGTATTTTCCTTCCTTCCATTGGAATACCATACAGTTATCAAAATTAAGACAGTTAAGTTACAGAACAAAATACATGTTATAAAGCCACTTTAAAAATCAATAAATAACAAACAGCCTGTGTGTGTAGCACTTTTATCTGCCCCACAAGATCTTTCCTTTGGAAAATTCCCCCTTCCTTTGAAAGTTATGTGATTCCCAGGGAGGGGGATGACTGTTAAACAAAGTCTCTTGCTCCCCTTCTCCTGCCATAAGGGGTATTCAAATCCAGACAGTGAGGGTTCTGTTTTGCTAACCATGAAGACTGTTGGTTGAAAACTAACACAGGCTAATCAGAATCTTTCCACAGGTTTTGGTTTATTTACATTTTTATTTGACAGGCAGAGAGAGAGAGAGAGAGAGCGCACGCGCACGCACTCATTTGCTGGTTCTCTCCCTATCTGCCTTCAGTGACCAGTGCTGTGGTAGCAGAAGTAAGGAACTGGGAACTTAATCCAGGTCTCCCAAATGAATTGCATTGACCTACCTATGTCAGCATTGCCTGCCTACTGCTTTGCAGCATCTGCATGAGTGTTGCTCCCCTATTCGCGGAGGAACGACACTAGACCCTGCGCTGTTCTTTTGTCTGCTTGGCCCTTCCCGGGTTTGCTGCTGGTCCTTCCTGGGTTGGCTGCCGATCCCTCCACCTCCGTGGAGGGGCGGCTCCCCCTGACACTTTCCCCACTTCCGCGGGGGAGCGGCACACCGCCGGCCGGCTCTCTCGGGGGCTCCTCAGATGTTATCCAGATGTTCCCGGTGCATGTTGTCTCTCTCCTCCTTTATAGTCCTCTTCCACCAATCCCAACTCTGCTACCCACATGCCGAGCACGCTGCTCTCCTCCAATCAGGAGCAGCTCCTGCAGTTTATTGGTCGAACTGGAGGCAGCTGTGTAGAAGCTGTTTACTCCTCTCCCAGCGCCATATTGTGGGAGAGCAGATGCATAGAGTAAGTCTTAATTCCAGTAACTTAGTCTAGTCCGAGTTGCTCCCCACACATGAGCAGGAAATTGGAGTCAGGCGAAATACAGGGCACGAGTGTGAGTGTTCCAATCAGCATGTTGCCTGCGAGGTCAGACACCTGTCCCCCAACGGTTTTGAGAGTTTAGATTTTGAAGAGAAAAAGATGTTGCTTTTTGAGCCCTGTATGAGTTTCCTTTGGTTGTTAGAGCAAATTACGACAACCTTAGTAGCTGAAGAACACCAACGAGTTACCTTACAGTTTGGTAGGCCAGAAATGGGCCCGAGGTCTCAAGTGCCAAAAGGCTGAGCTCCCTCCCTGAGCATCTGGGGACAATGAATTTCCTTGGCTGTTCCAGCCTCCAGAGGCCACTCATACCCCATGACAATTGGCCCCTTCCTCCATCTTGAAATTCAGCAATAAGTGGCTGTGTCTGTCTCTCATGTTATCTCTTTGACTTTGCTTCCTTTATCCCATCTCTCTGCCTACCTCTAACTCTTCTTCCTCCTGCTTTCATTTCCAAAGCTTCTTTGACTGCTTGGGGGCCCACCATATAACACAGGACCACCTCTCTATGTTAAGGTCATTTTGTTAACAACCTTAACTCTATTTTATTAACCATCTCAATTCTCTTCTGCCATGTCAAGCAATGTATTTTTGGTTTCTGGGGATGGGGATGTGGACTTCCTCGTGTATATGTATTGGGGGGATTTTATTATTGTCTTAAGTTTGGAGTTGGGGGCCGGAGCTGTGGCTCATTAGGTTAATCCTCCACCTGCAGCACTGGGATTCCAAATGGGTGCTGATTCCAATCCAGCTCTCTGCTATGGCCTGGGAAAGCAGTGGAAGATGGCCCAAGTCCTTGGGCCCCTGTACCTGCATGGGAGACCCTGAAAAAAGCTCCTGGCTTTAGATCAGTGCAGCTCCGGCAGTTGTAGCCAGCTGGGGAGTGAACCAGTGATGGAAGATCTCTCTGTCTCTGTCTCTGCCTCCCTACCTCTCAAGTAAAATAAATATTTCTTAAAAAGTGAATCCAAGGTTGTACATACCTAACTTCCTGAACACATCAAGAAAAATGAGGTAGAGACATAAAAAACAGATGTGCCAAGAGAGAGGTAGGGAGAGAAACTGCCCTGCTGTAAACCCTGCATCCAGCCATTGCCGACACTAATACACCTCACTTTAATATAAGCCAAAATGTCCTTCCCATTCGTTCAAACAAATTCTGAATTGCAGTTCTCTCATTTGTAACTTAAAAAATCCTAATTACTCACATGTGTGTATGTGTCTGCAGATATGTAGTCATTTATGTTGACACAGGTCTAGAGAAAAGTAGAAAGAATAGTAGGAAATAGAACTGGGAGGCTTGTACAGGGTAACTTAAATTTCTGACTTAATGTATTTGTATTATTTGACTATTTTTCTATGGCCATGTATTATTTCTATAATATTCAAGAAGATAAAATAAGAGACTACAGCATAAAAACTAAGTTCCCTTAGGGCTCCAAGGTCTAGATGAAAAGCAGAAAACCCATACATTTCTCTGTAACTTGGTGCTTTTAAATAGTATACATATTCACACAAGAGCCAATAATTACAAGTTGCTTCCCAGGCCCTGATAACGTGCTTTCTTCTTCTAGAAAAGCTATTTAGATGGGGCCACGATGATAAAAGGTCCATGCTCAGAGACAAACAAAGGACCTGCTGGCTCATCTTTGTGGGCCCCACATAGGCCTGTCCAGGGCCACACAGCAAGCCCTGAAAGTACAAGTTTGTCCTAGTTCTGCTTTCTTACCTCCTTGGACTATAAATAGGCATATCACAGGGATCTAAGTTCAAAGAAAAGCAGCAGAGACAAATGCCTCCATTCCCCTTGGCAAAACAAAGACACAAAAGCAAGCCTCCACCCCAGATGCATTAAAACAGGAGAATAGAGGAATTGTTAAAAAGTCCCAATTAAGAGATCTGAAGAATCCTCTTGCTGGACTGGGCACAGTGGGATGCAGGATGCTGGATCTGAATTCCTCGTCTTCTTTCTTACAAGACCTGCTACACAGAAAACCCA